ATGTGCTTAGTAGAGACTTAAAGGAGCATATCAGCATGAACTTTTCACTGTACTTAGCATATTCCAGTTGAGAGCTGAGACAGATATCACTATGTTGGAGTGGCAAGAGGTATTGGATCAGAGGCAGGAAGGCTGCACTTCAGTCCTAAGTGCTTCCCTGGAGTTTCAGCAGGAAGGAGAAGAAAGCTTGTTCTGGCTGAAATAAGGGACAGATGGGAATAAATAGGGTAGGTGGAGCTTACAGACTGTGGCAGGCTTCAGGACTCTTAAGTGTGTGCTTGTGTATGTCTGTGGGAAGAGAACACACAGTCTCAAGGTTAAAGGGAGAGGTGAAGAAGACTTGAAATAGAACCAACATGAAATAATTCTTTTATCATTCCCCTCCCTCACACAGGATTTTGGACATGTCTGTGGATAAAATGAAATTTTGAAAGAAAAATTCCATAATAATATATGGGATATGTGATTTTAAAAGCAGCATTTGTCAGAGTAGCAGAAAAACGACCCTTTTTAAAGTCCCTCAACTGTGTTAATTCTGCTCCATTAGCAAGACTCTATTGAAGCCAGTTCAGTATAAAAGAGGGAAGGAAAGTTTGGTTATGCTTTCTTCTTATGTATTGAAGAAATATTTGCTCATAAATTTATTGATGTCTATTAAAGACAATTTAATTTAATTGAACTTCCTGAGCTTTATGAAAAGTTTTCTTTGCCTGTATTGCTCCCTTGACAGAATTATTTTGCACTTTCTTCCTGCCTTTTATTCTCGTCTCGGAAAGATGCAAGACCCTCAAAGCTAAAAACTGTTGCCACAAAAACATGGAAATTGGTTTGGGTCTTTTTTTTTTTTTTTTTGTCTGTTCTTAGTGTTTGATCTTAGCTTAGTTTAATGTCAGAATATTGTGATCCAGAGTCCTAAGCAAAGAAGCCAATGATCCCCCTGCCTTCTGTCTGACAGCAACATGATCTTGCATTGATACTTTCCTTTGGCAAAGGCATTTTGCACATGCCAGTAGAGGACAGAGGTTCCAAGTGATGTGTCACACTCAGACGTTGGCTTTTGTGTAGGGTTCTTTACCTGTGCAGAATTAGTAACCAGTGACTACCTTGTGTCATAGTATGTGCTGGTTCTAGGCTGGACTAGATCCAGATTTCTGGAAGTTTCTATAAGTATTAGATTCTAAAATAGCCTTTTGATGCAAAATTTTATTAAAGTCTCTCCAAGCTGACACTTGGCACGCACTTTATCAGCAACACAGCTACTGCTTATGTTCCTTTTTTTCTTTTTTTTTTCTTTTTTTTTCCTTTGGTTGAGTAGATTTTATCAGGAATTGCTGCAGTAAAACCACTGTAGAAATCAAATTAGCTGTTCATAATTCCAGGAATTTAACCCTAATTTTCATTTTCTGTTTTAGAAGAGGCGAGGTTGGGGTCCCACTACTGCAAAACGCAGCTGCTGCCTGTACTCTTGTCAGTGGCTTTGCAGAACAGAATAGTTCTTCTGGCTCTCTAAACACCTGGCACAAGACCACAAAGAGTTTGATGGCACTGCATTTATCAGGAGGAAGAGATTCAGTGCTGTTTCTGTGCCCGCTTGGCAGATTGCAAAATAAGAGGGGACTTTGCTGTTGGCATTAAAGAGCTTACAGCTTGTGGGAATGTTACCCTGGGTTTTTCTCGCAGTGTAATAGTCCTCTTGTAATCATAAAGGGCATTTTCTTGGAAACAGCACTGCTTTTTAATGGTTGCAGTTAGAAATAACGGTTGGATTCATAACATGGTTTAACACAACCCCTCCCCCCCAAAAAAAACCAACACCGAAACAAAAGAAAAAAACCCAAACCAAAACCCAGCTCTATGAAGAAATTTTAGTATTGAACAAATACATTTGCACTAGTGTAGCAAATTTTTATAAGTATTTTGGTTTTATATTCATACTAGTGTATATGTAACGAAAGCAAATCTTGCTGTCTCCTAATGATTAATATTGTACATTTATTTTCTGAAAGCAGATGTCTCCTTTTTATGGATCTGACTTGCAGGAATTATACTAAAACAAGATTAAGAAATCAGTATGGGATGTGAATGATATAATGAACTCAACCACTCCTCTCTACGTTTTCCTTCAATTTCTCTATTACAGGATAACTATTTACATTACCTTAGTCAAATTTCAAAATTTGAATTTCAAAGATTTTTTTAAAGATTTTTTTTGTGGATCATATGGCCCCCATTCATCCTGTCTGCCGGTTACCTTGACAATTTTATTCATACTGCTCCAAATTTGCAAATAGTAACAGCTGGAAAAGTTATCCAAGGGGACTGTTGCTCTGATGGGTTTTTTTTTCAGGTTCACAGGAGTTATGAGGTGGGCTTGAACACCATTTGCAATCTGTTAAGTCCAATATATTTTCTGAGGTCACAAGTCCTGCCCACGGGGACAACCCGTGCAGCCTGAGCACTTTATGACTGGTAAAGCTTTGTTTCGAAGGGAAGGAAAAGAACATAAAAAAAACATTTTTGAGGGGTAAACCAAACATCTACCTAACTCAATAATCTTGGTTTTTTTTTCCACAATGGCCCACAGTGGATGCCTAGAAAAGAGAATGACAGTGGGGCAAGCAGTAGTGGCTTTCCGCATCTGTACTCCAGCTTTTGATCCCTCTCTGGCTTGAAGACTTTCTGAGACTTTCTGAGTCAGAGATTCTGCCTTCATGTTTGAGGCTGTATCCTTGTGTTTATCGCCTGAGTTGTGCTAGCAGGAGAAGTGACTTCTGAAAAGCAGCTATTTAGTTGATACTGCAATAAAACTCTTCACACGGTGAAGTAATTAAAGCACGTTGCCCTTCTAAAGCTATTTTAAAAGATACAGTGTTTTCCAGGATTAACTGCAGTATTTTTCTTGGTTTTGGTTCTGGTTTCCTGAGATGTCCCTTCTATTCCCTCCTCATCTGTATTGAAAAATTGCCATAATATTATTTACGTTTCCTTGAAATTTATTTATTTTCTTAAAAGTTGTTTACATTTGGAGCTATTTTGAAGTCTCTGTGTAAAGTTACTAGTTTGGATTAGGTTTTCAAAGCTCTTCAAGCAGCAGTGCTTGAATAACTACAGTTCCAAAATTTGATTCTCACTCTTTAATATGGTAAAAAAAATACAATCTTTTTCTTTTGCTGAGCAATGTGAGATGAACTCTAGTCCAGAGGACTTTGGGCAGCTAGAAGCACCATTGTTTGATGTTAAGTCTTTTTTTAACTGTATTTTTAACTGTAATTGTAACTTTTCAAATAAATATCCCTCTCCAAATCTCTCCGTTTTTGCTCATTCTATCTTAAGACTTTTAGCCTAATCCTGTTATTTAGTTTTGAGTTATTCCCAATGTGATTTCTTTATTTTCATGTTTCCGTACCAGAATTTTATCTGTAGATTAGTTATTGCCCTTCCACCTGTGATTATTTATGATTCTGTTCTGCATAGGAGTATTGTTTGTTTTGTTACAGTCTTCGGCATTTTACCTTTTTCCATTTAAAAGGTTCCTCTGAAGCTAACTCTGATTCATGTTTTATTGCTGTGTATCTCTAGCACAAACCAACATTATCCTTGCACTGTTTGTTTCCTAGACCTACTATGTTTCTGTAATACATTTTAAAAAATAATTGAACATATGGCTCTTTGTTACTGTTCTCTTACTTGTTACCATTATCTGACTTTTTACTTTAACTCTTATTTATTGGACTTGGCTTGTTTAGAGTTTCACTACCACTGCTGTGAGGTCTGTAGTGGTTTTGTTAGCTTCTTGCTTTTACAATTCCAGAATCTCAGGGATTTTGAACCTGTTACATTGTTATTCAGGTGCCCAAGTCCATCAAGATCTTACAGTTCAGCAAAATGTGTTTCAGAAAGGAACACTGATCTGCTCCATTTTATAAAAAAAAGTCAGGGGAATTTGCTAAGTAGCTTGGACACGCAATCTCAATGTAAGCACCTCCATGAGTATCATCTTGTCAGTGGAACTTAAGCACGTGCTTGAAGTTAAGCACATATTTAAGTGTTGCCTTACCTTGGTCAGGGTGTTCTCAGCTAGGAGCAAGTTCCTGCTTACAAAAATGCAGTGTGTGTTAGCTCAGCCCTTGATAGAATAAGATTAAATTATTATTTAGATTATAGCTGACATAAATGAAGAAACGAAACACTGACTTGACAGTTTGGCACTTATTTTTGGTGAGATTAGGGGAACAGTGCGTATTTAGGTGAAATTTAAAAACTGGTCACTGACTAGGTTCAAGAGGACTTCATGCCTGTTTTCTCTTAAGTCAGATTCTTGTCTTTTGGAATAAATTATGGCTCATTTGGCTTCCTATACTTGAAATGTTTTTCCATTTCCTGGAAGTTTCTGTTCATGAGTGTGCTGCTTCTTTAAGGGTCATATTTTATTTTGTTTTGTTCTCTTCTGATGCTTTCTCAGCAGTGCTTTTACGTTTCAATAACTTCTCTAAGGCAGAAATTGTTCATATTGTTCATATTTTTACAATAGCTTGTTTCATTTGTGTCATGACATACATAATATTTGTGTGCAGGCATGTATGCATGTTGTTATAATTGCATCTGACTATATACATACACATAAAAATTCACTATGAAACTCTATTTGCTGGGTGCCATAATTCAATTTTGATGCACCAATAATATGTATTAAAAGCTATTATTTTGTCTGGAATCACAAATACAAAACTGATTTAGAATTTTATAGTATATAGTGAAAATAGGATTATTATGAAAATAAGCCAAACTATGTTTATATTCAAATTGTGAGTGACTGTAAATAGAAAAAATACAGAGTAGCTGAGACCTAATGTGGTTATAGTAAAACTGTCTGTGTTGTACATGTCACAAAAAATCATTGTTTATACCTCTATTACTAAAACTTGAAATTAATACTATGCTGTTCTCTCCATGCTTCAAGCTCTATAGAACAATGTTTTTCTTTCTGCTTTTTTTTCCAGCACTTGCTACTAGCAATAAAGTTTATCATGGCGTTTGTAATTCCGGATAAACCAAGAGATATCCAGATGAAACTCGCGAAATTGGAATTTGAATCTTTAGAGGCTCTCAAACAACAGGTAAGAGCATTTCAGGTACTGCTTCATTTTCTGTTAATCCATCATTGCTTAAGAAGTGGAGCAGAGAGTTTTAACCTATTTATCTGCCATTTCAACCCAGTAATGTATGAAAGTCCACATCAGGAAAATAATCTTCCTTTTCAGACAGCTTGAAATTCCTGGTATGGCTAGTAATGTAGCAACTTATAATGTCTGTTGTCCTTGTGTGTGCAAACATATTTTGTTTATATTGTCACTTTTAAAGGACATTGGGCTCTATGAAACCTCATTTCATCCCCCGGAGGTGTTTATTATTGCAACACTAGGATTTCTTTCATTGCTGAAATACCATTACAAGTAGACAGTTAACTTGGCTCAAATATTAATCAGAAATTGTAAACAGGCTGAACATGTTTGAAATAATTGTGTTGTGAACTAAAGACGTGTGAGGGAATGGTAATGTTGCCTTATTTTAGTGTCCATACAATATTCTCATTTTATTGCATAAAAAAGTATATTTTACAATATACTTGACAAGCATTCCAAAGCAAGTTAGAAAAATAAGGAAGTAGATTGTTTTACTGAGAATTTCTGTTTTAACAAATGATTGCATAGAGAGAGGTGTGGAGATCACAAGAGATGAAGAATTGCATGGGACTAGCTTCAGTAGGACACAGATTCTAGAGAGCTGGTTTTGCGATGGCAGCATTCTTTAGGAGTTTCTGACTGTACCATGCTAGATAGGATTTCTAAGCTATCTTACATATCAGAAAACAAACAAAAAATCCCCCAGCATTGAGATGGAGAGACTAGTTCACCTATTTATTGTTAAAGATACTTTCACACTGCAGAGCATGGTTTTACATGAATGTATTCTTTGTGTGCTCCACATACACATGCGTAAACTCCTTTATACTTTTATTTGTGTAAAATGGAATGTTGCTTCTTAAAGCATCCACTGTAGCTGCAGGTGACAAAATGATCTCTTGATTCTGGACAAACTGAGCCTATAAACAATGCACTGCCTTTTCTAGTTAAAATACCACAGTTTTGTGTGATTCTAGAACATCTCTATTGAGGTCAGTGCTGTCTTTCATAATCAGCCATAACAAACAGAATCCAAATTACAATTGAATCTAATGCCTGATAGTTTTGTTTTGCTTTTCTCTAGTATGTTGATCTGAAGTTTACAAGAGCTGTTCGGGGTCTCATGTGGTGTTTAGATAATATTAAAAGGAACAGGACTACATTTCTATTTCAGTTGTTCTTTCTGTTTTCATTTTGTAGACCAGCAAAAATAGGTCATCTGCCAGAACCTTAAGGTCAAGTGAATGTAGTCAGTCACCTTGGGTTGTAATGTTCCAGTTGGAATATATATAGTCTCTTTCAATATGAGTGTGTGTGTCAGCAGTAGAGTCTTCATCTTGTGTCCTTGCATCTGTGTATTCCTACAATAATACATGCCTGATTCCCAGTTCTTCAGGGTTGCTTCATTAATTCAGTAGTGAAAAGTAAAAGTTAGTCTGAATTTCAGCAAGAGCCTAGTTCTCACCTATACTTTCAGGCTTCCTACAGGATCTGGGAAGACTGTTGGCTGGGTTTCAGGTGCCTTGGTAGTTACTTTAAACACAAGTGTCTGCCATCACTTTTTTAGATTTCCTCTGATTGATACTGTGCTATGTATCCCATAGACATTTGGACTTTTTTTCTTGTTCTTTAAGGATTTTTTGAGTGAAAAATATCTGCATTTAAAAGTGCAATATCTGCATTGACAGTGCAAAAAGATACTGAAACATTTATATTAGAAGCACATTTTCTAGTTCTTCCCCCTGCTACTGAGAGTCAGCTGGTAATTTATACTGTATGTATTACTTTCAAGCAAAAAACAAGAACAACAAAGTCCCCCAAAACAACTCCTTAAAAAAACAGGCATAAATGTCCGGGACAAACACGTTGTGGGATCAGATGTTATGGAAAAAGTAGTTCATATACTTCTGTGTAAGTATGCATTGCATTCCTTTCTTGATGCTATCCAGACATGCATTCCATTGTGTTTTACCATATGATCTTTTAGAGTACTACTGTCTTGGGATGTAGCTACTAGAAGGGTATTTACAATGACAGACTATAAACCTCTGAGATGCCAAAATAGATTATTAGGCTTCATATATAGTGCATGGAGAGAAGATCTCCTAATACAGCTGCTTTGAACAGTTGTGTTGATTTTGCTTGGGATCCTTAACTTTAGATAGTGTGAGTACCTTTACATTTTCATTAATGCTAAGCTAATTGCTTTTTAACCTAGTGCAGTGGGACTGTAACTATTCTCTGTTCAAATCCGTTTGAAGACTTGAATGTCTGTTTGAAAGGGATTTTAGGGAATAGAGTGTCTCAGTTCTGTAATAGAGATGAGCAGTCATCAGTAGAGCTTGTTAAAAAAAACCCCTGCTATATGGTGAAAAATGCCATAATTAAAAAAAATCATTTTATATTGGAATGTCAGTCTTGTTTTGAAGTTCTCAACTTTTGAAGTTCTCAAACTTTAAGAAAGCTTTTTAGGAACTTCTGAAATGTTTCTTTGAAACATTTCTTTACATAGTTTGTGTTAAGACTGTTGAAGGGAGTGGACTCTTGAATGGCTTGTAAAAACTTGATCTATTTTGAAAATACTTTTTTTGATACATTCTGAGTATCATAACAAATTTGCTAATGTAACTCCAGAGAAAATACTTTACCCTTTCTGAATCTCGACTGGGGAACATGCTACATCTATAGGCTTTATTTCAAGTTTCCCTGATGTCCTTCAGTGTAAAGAATGATGAAGGAGGCCGGTCAGACTCTATTTTGGGGAGGGGAGAGGGCAGAGAATAAATGAATGTAAACTTTTTATGGAGGACTAAAGAGAATATCCAGATTTTTGGAAGAGGAGCAGGAATGATTCCTTTCACAGTCCCTAAAGTGTTGTCACCTGGAAGAAAGCCTGGATAATGGGCAACTAGAAATGGGTATTGTCTGCCACTAGAGCGATGGGCCCTTTTCGCTGAGAATCATGATCCTTCTTAGGGAAGTAACTGTCTGGTAAAGTGGGTGAGGTGCCCTTGCGTCTTTGCAGTACCCCGCTCTGTTGCATCTGTTTGCTACAACTGCAGAAGCATGCCTTGCTCTTTGGTCTAGTCCCTATTTTAAGGAGGATCAAGTCTAGGTGTCCCTGCAGGCAGCAAGGGAGCAGTCAGTTAATTCTTCAGTGGTTCTGGAATTACCACTGGCCTACATCATACATTGGACCAATGATATAAACTCGTGCGAGATCACTGTCTAGCATTTTCAGGGCAGCGACAGCTTCTGGACAGATCAAAGCTTTAAGAATAGACAAAAGGCCCTCCTGCTTGGAGAAAAGGGTCTATATCCTTATAAAAGGTCTAAGTTCTAGAAACACAAGACAACCACAGATTAAACAGCATAACTTGCATTTTGTGGACTCGACTACAGTCATAGTCTCAAGTATTAGGAGATCTCCTCAGTATTACATTCTTCCAGTTGAGGCAAACATCAAATAAATACCTTTTTTCTGCACTGAAACTAGTCCCAGGCAAAGCAAATGAGAGACAGATTGGGGAAAAATAATTGTAATATTATAAAAATAATATAGTAATTATTTTCTGATCATGAAATACAGAGAGTAACAACTCCAGCATGATGTCTAACTAATTATTTTTCAAGGAAGGATGAAGTTTTAAATGATGGGGAATCTTTTCACAAAGTGCAACTCGTTATACAGCATCAATACTAGCTCTGAAAACAAAAGTTTATTGATGTAAAAATGCTTGTGTTTTTTATGGTACTTTTGCATTAAAACATCTGAACTATATAAATTGGGTAAAGATTCTTTTTCCTTATATTATCTCGTTCACCGCTATCTCAGCAAAATACACATAGCTGTGATAGCAGCAATAGAGAAATACAATTTAGTGCACGATTTGGCTTTTTCAGAGGAACTATGGGGGGGAAACTGTCCTTAAGCTGGAGCAGAAATGCAGATGTACATGATTTTCTCTCCATGCATCCCTTCCCGGTTTCCTCCCCACCCCCAGCCCTTACTTCCAAGGGGACCTAATGTATAAGCTTCCTGTCATTCCTGTGCTTTAGTTTCCTTCCTTAGTGTTCTAGCCATTAGTGGCCAGTATCCTTTAACAGGAATGCCTTTTCCTTCTGATATGTGAAGCCTTTCAGTGCTTCCTCTGAAGAAGTATGTCCATCTGTTAGATATCTGGTGTCCATCTGTAAATGTTCCACCAGAAGGAGACTCCAGATAGATGACATGCTTGTGAGCAAAGGGTCAGCTGATTGACAGCTGTCATCCTTCCTCAACTGACAGCAATGAAAAGGGTCAAGGTTATTGAACACTAACCATGAAAATAAGCCTCCTTTCTCCTCCCTGGTGTATTTCTGTTTAGAGAGAGATAAAGCAATGTGGTTATTCAGCCTGGGCCAAGTGGAGAAAGACCTTTTGCTCTTTCATGCAGTATCTCCCTTGGTAGTTGTACTATCCACATACAATTGCTTAATGGCAATGGTATAGTCTGGATATCCATAAACAATTGCTTCAGTTGCTTTAGAGTGAGATCTAGTTGTTTGTAAGTCAGTAGTGCTTCTTCTTAATGATTTCCAGCAGAATAACAAGTTTTTTGAAGCAACAGTAGGTGCAGTTTTCATTAGGATTTCTCCAGCAATGTCATGCATTTCCTGAAAATGGTCTTCTGTCTCAGCTCCCTCTCAAGGAAATGAAAGAAATGAAGAATGCTGTGACTGATCTCTGCATCATCTTCATTGACCAAAGGCTTCTTCAAAACACTTCTTACACTGTGTTAATTAGCTTTTTTTTGAAAAGGATGATGAGACAATGACAAAAAGAGACTGGTGTTTGTTCACCTAGGTGTAGTCATATGAAAGCTTAAACCCTTTCTCCCTCTTTCTGCAGATATTCTGGCATGCAAAAGTTGCTGTTCTCTCCAGTGAAAACC